TGAACCAATTCAGAAAGAATTTCAGGACAAGTAATTTCTTTTCTTGACGCTTTATTAAACAAAAACTCTGAATGACACAAGCACACAAAGTGCTGTTGCTATGTTTAGAACAGTAGCTAAGCAAGATATTTTCAAGATCCACTGATGCCGCACTGTGATGTTACACTGGTTCAGTGCATCAATTCAGAGAAGCAAGCCTGAGAGATTCTCCCCCCTTTCCTTTCTCCTCTCCACTGACTTAGAAGCAAGCATATGCCCCAGGAGGTTTCCTAACCAATATATTTTTCCATATTGCATAGACTACAGACACTAGAGAGAATTCAAATTAATTTAATTTACAACTTACCTATTTCTAGCATACAATAAATTCTATCTTTAAAAAGAGTATTACCATAGATAATTTCTGGTGCAATCTAAGATTAGGCAGCAAAGCCAGAATAAGGACAGTCTTTTAAAAAAACAAGATCCAAATGTTTTCCAACACACCTGCTTAGTTTTTATATATGATATTCTCATTGTTAGTGCATTTAAAAAAAAAGAAAAGAGAAGAAAAGCATTTAGCAGACCTAACTTGCTCATTACAACTCTTTAGTGAGTCAATATTCTCAGCTCTCATATATTCAAAAATGAAGCAATGTGAATGGATTGAATTAACAACTTTCACTCGGCAATATGGATGGAGAAATTTTCAATAGCAAATGCTATCAGGAAAATGGCATTTATGAGTATTATTTTAATAATACCTCTACTGCTCATTTAAGTGAGTTTTATTATGGCTCTCTTAATGGAACACATAAATACTTCATACATTTGAGTAGCTGAACCACAGAACTTTTACTTTCTATTTAAACCACATGAGTAAACAAGTTTTATATAACATAATGACTTGTTTTCTAGCTACATTTAATCTAAAACTTTGAAAAAAAATTAAGTCTTATAAAAAGAAACAAATTAGAGTATCCACCATTATGAAAACATACGTGCACATACAAACATTAACCAAAAAAAGAAGACATGTATACTCTCTGCTCCCATCTACTCACCAAAAAACTGACAAAACTGGCTCCAAAACTCATTAATGGGCTCTGGTTTCTATAAAGAAAAGAAAATGTAGTTACTGTATTTGCACGTATTTCCTATCGTAAAGATCAATATTGTATTTCTTGATTTTAACTTACACATCTGTAAATAAACCTTGGGGTTTTTGTATCAAGTTACAAACAAAATGTTGTATCATTCTGCAAGATCTAATGTACATTGAAAGCAAAAAGCTTCTTTTCTACTAAGACTTGAATACATCTTTTAAAAAAAAAAATCAAGCATTAAGGTATAGATATCTTTTTAAGGGAAACCACTCCCATCAAAACACATTCAGCACAGGTCAAAAAAAAAAAGTACGAGCTACAGAAAATTTAAAATCTACTAATTCTACTCTTCTCTACGATCCATCACTCCAATTTCGATCTAGCAGACAAATGTTTACCAGTTCTATTAAGCAATATCCACTTCTCCCTGATCCTATGAATTTAATCTACCCAGATTTCAAAAAAAAATTCATATGCCACATAACATAAGCTGTTGGAAATACAAAGTTCTTACAAGGCTTATGATTTTATAGCTGCTTTGGTTCAAGGCCAGAATATGTATCTTTACTACACTAGGTGGAAGTTTTAAGATGCTTTACTTATTCTGTTTGCAGGGGTATTACAAAGGGGTGAAAACAACCGCTATGTCAAAAAACACAGGCAAGCAAAATCTTGGCAATGTACGCGACAAGTTTCAAGATTCAGGATTACTGAAGTCAGACCACGAGGCTTCAGTAACGTCACACAGAAGGCACTTAAAAAAATCTAAATACAAAACCCAAACCAAAACACCACACAACACTTTCAGGATCTCAGCAGTACCACCAATCCACACTGCTCAGCAGTGGGCTGCCAGGTTACATGAAAACACTGCCTTCCAGGATTTAAGAAGTAGTAACATTTATGTTACATGTACGTATATTGCTATAGTACAGTATAGCCTTCGCTTTTCATATACATTGCTCAATTCTAGATACATTTATAAGTGTAAGATCAACATAACTTGCCACATTTTTCTTTTTTTTTTTGTTCTGAAAAGTGAAATAGGTTAGGTATTTTTCTCTTTGGTGGCAGGCCAACAAGAACAGCTGCCAGTAAATGCCTCTGCTATTCAGTACCTAACCTGTTCTCTACCAACAGCTGTGTTACACAGAGCAGTAGAAATCAGCTACACAAGTTATACTCACTGCAGCTGGCACTTTCAGCACAACCTCTTGCTGCAGAGGGCACAGCTATCTCGTAATCCACTTGAAGTCACAAGGCATGTGGGGCCCTTCACCCTACTCCACAGCACATAACTTTCACCATACCTTTCAAGGTCACACCTACTGCATAATCAACACCCAACACATCTAAAACTGCAGAACAGATCAGCATAAGAAATTTTTACATTTATGTTCCTAAGTACGAAGTTGCAGTTATATCACACCTTCAAGGAAGCTCGAAAATGAACCAAATGTTTCACGTTTGAGTCTCCTCAGATCTACATACACAGAGAGAAATTAGTTCTGGGGAGGCAAGGAGGTAGGCATCTCTAGATAGTCAATCTTTCACACTGAAGGCCATTCAGAACAGAAAATTGTCAGAGAAAGATTGTTCAGAGTGAATTATAAATACTCAACCACAATGGTCTCTAAATATAACCAGAAAAATAAAAATACATGACATAAGAAATAATTAATTAGGTTTGCACCTCTCCGTAAGATCCCTAGAACACAATTCTTGAATATCAAGTTTCCAACCACACTGAAAATGTTACTTCACTACAACACATGGATCTGAAGAAAATATTTAATGGAATAACTGAAATTCGAGTACCTGAACACCACTACAACATTTACAATTAAATTTTTTAAGTATTAAACTCTAGTAAAACTTTGCACAGCAGGACTAAGATTCTGAGTGGGTTTTTTTCCCCTCTGAAACATGCATGAGCAAATCAAATAAGCTTTGCGACATACACAACTTGGCTCTGTGTATCCAGGCATTCCTTAGGACATGGCAAGAAAGATGTGATTTTTATCAGCAAAACAAGAAAAGTGATGTATATTTTAAGTTCAGACTACTTTTCATTTTCTATGAATTTATAAAATAGAAATAGTTACCGAAGCTTTAAAAAAAGTAAACACATCAGCTTTAGAGGTAAAAATTATTTTCTGTCTACAAGAACAATATTTTCAAGTAGAGCAACTTGAATAATGGACATGTTTGGGAGTGAAACCACTAAAACTGAATAAACAGGAATACTGTTGAAAATCAAGCAGTATATATAGCTGTTTCAGCAACTTAATACATATGCTAATTCAAGCATACCATTCAAACATTTTAAAAAATGTGGTTTTCTTTTGAGGACTTTAAGAACCTGTTCTTAAGTGTGCACACATGTGTGAAAGTATCGATATTTAAATATACATTTTGAAAGCCTTTCTATTTCTTTTTCCTAAATTTTAATACAATGTTAACAAATGAGGCAGCTACTTACAGTTGAGAGACAACTGCTCTTCCAAGATTACAAAAGACATTGAAGCACGCACTTACTGCAAGCAATGAAAATTTGTCCAGGTATTTTTACGTGTATTTGTCCAAGTAAAACTGAGAAGTTTTTTCCCCAAGAAATACTTATCTTTCAAATGGATCTTTCAAAACCTCTTCCCTACTTGCACTGACACTCACAGCTCACTTTGTTTACAGTTCATCCCCCATGACCAAAGACAAGACAACAAAAAACTCAAGAGCCACATCACTCTATTCTGAAATTACCCCTAGCTGTAATACAAGATGTAAAATGTTCCAGATTAGCTCTTTTTAATTTCAGTCACTCAGTCTATAAAAAGCATTGTCATTACAGCACATATGGGCTGTAGCACATAAGGACCCTGAAGCAAGAAAATACAATCTGTAATATTACATTATGTCTAGGAGATTAGGAGATGTTTCTGTTTAGACCATGGAGTTTGGCAAACATAACATGAAGACTTTAATGCAGGAGCGCCTCACATAGACTTTGTGTCACCACTAAACAAAATAAAGAACACTTCTATTACACTCCTACATAATCACTGGGTAGAGATCATAGTTGCAGCTTTATGGAAGGTAACTAGTTAAGGTAATTTCAGTGGTTAAAATCCATTTTAAACAACAACCGCATCTAGTGCTTAATCTTCGTGAATATCATGTTGGCTGATAAATTCTTCAACTGTTTAGCGATAAAAGTTTGCAACGGCACAGCACTGCCCCAGTAAACACTAAAGCATGACTACTGATGACAATAAATTTCTGAGAAAAGCACAATTCCAGGAAAATAACCCTCGGCTCAAACTCCTTATAAGTGACCTTCAGCATCAGACATGATTTTACATCTTTTGACAGATTCCAAAAAGTCATTAAGATACAAAAAAAAAAAAAAAAAGAGAGGCAGCACTTGAGAAAATACTGACAGCAAACCAGGGGCCATACTGCTGTTGACAGGAGTTACGGGACTGAATATGAATGAACACTGGGACACTGCACTAGCTGGGGTGTCCTCGCTACTTTGAGGTGATAACCTCCATTAAGCAAAGAAAAATCTCAAGATCTTAAATTAGCTCAAAGATGAAGAAAAACTCAGTCTCCAGACATATTTTGTAAAACACTGTTTCCACCTCACCTATCAAAGGAGGACTCAGAAGACATCTTTATTACAAGACAGTGTGCTGTGAACACAATTTCTACAAGATACCACAGTAAAAGGCTGTATATATCAATACAGTTAGTATGTATAACTGAACTTAAATCATAAGCTTAAGAGCACTGAAGTAGATCATTCTTCCAGGTATATAAACTAGTGTTATATGAGACACTGCTTCTCCCAATAAACCCTAATTCACCTCATTTCATGGCATATCTTTAAGATGTTAATTCACTTGCAGAAGAAAGGTGTTTGCCATGACCCATTTTCACACATGATGATAACATTCAGGAGTTTTAAGCCTTGCTTTAATAAGGCTGAGATAATACAGCCCAATTTTACCATAAAAAAAAAAAAAAAGAAACCAGAACTGAAGCACACCACAAGAAAAATCAATTACTTCTCAATACTTTCTTTTTTCTACGTCCATTTCCATGGTAGTATTTCACTTCCAAATACATCAGCTTCTAAAGCTACAACAGCCTAGCTCAGGTTTAAATTTAAGTAATGTAATTAACACACCAACATTTCCTCATTGCTTTTCTAGGCACTGCTACTTTAACCATTGGCACTAAGAATTCCAGTCATCATACTGATAGAAATATTCAAGTTTAAACCAAAAAAATTGTTTTCCTCCAAAGTGGGAGAGTGAAGCATAACAAAAAAATTAAGAATTCATGTAAGTTCACAGATAAACATAGAAGCAGCTACTGAATATTTTAAAACAAGCAGAAATATGTATAAACTATATACAAAGGCAAGGAAAACTATATATAAAGGCAAGGAATTTACTGCAAAAACATATGAATCCTTTGGTCAATATTCCATCACAGATTATTCTAGAATATATTCTAAAAACTATTTGTGAGACTACAAACACAAGACAGATCTTTATACAAGCACACATCTCATCCAACATATGTATACGAAACAGCAAAGGCAATAAAAGTCTCATGAAAGCCTTATAGTACTAAGACATATCAAGAACTTCAAATGCCAGCTCTAGGTTTAGTTCCTATTTGATAATCAGCCCAAATTTGTTTTAATTGCTAAATGAGCTCTTAGCACACACTTCTATTTTCACTGGAAATACATAACCAAAAGAGAAATTCAGGAATACAAAAAGAGTACTTCTGTGTCCCTGTTGCATTCAGTTGTTACCTGACTTGTTTTATCCTTCCACAAATTAACAGGGGATTGTTTTGCTCTAATTTCAGGCTGCTAAATTTAGATGCACAAGAATAGCAAAACATTGGAAATCATGAGAAGCATTTTAAATTTCACTTTGACTTCAAAAAGCAGTTATAGCTCAGAGGCAAGCTAGTTAAAACAGATCGAT